CCAAAGAGATCTGCAGCATGTATTTGCTGTTATTTCTGTGATCATGATATAATAACTCAAATTTATAACCCAAATCGAACAACACAAATGCAGTTCTGCCGTGAAATGTTCACAGCTCTTTAAAGTATCACTGAGATCCTGCAGGGGGACTTTTCTTTCACAAATGCAGAAATAAAACCTGACAGTGTTTCAGTCAATTAGTCTGAGGTTTACGCCGACTGACTCACAGATTGACACCCACCCACCTGGCCTTAATGGGTACCCGCCTCTCACATTAGGGGTAATTGTGAAATAAACTCTGGTTTAAGAGCTTTAAAAGATGGTAGACTGCAGGTCACACTGATCTCAAACAAACGAGGATGATCAAAATACATTTTTAAGTCCCCAACGAACAAAGGAAGGGGACGTTTAAAGCTATTTCAGCTAATCCCCTATTCACCACAGGTCGCCTACAGTGTCAAAAACATTTGGCAGATTTTTACACTGGATGCTCTTCCTGACACAACCCCCACAAGGATCTGTATCTCCTCATGGGATCAAACTGGGGATCTTTTGCTTGGTTAGGCAAATGTGTAAACCACTACACTCTGCATCCACAAACAAGGGAACAGGAAGTAATAGTCGTAAAATCCATAGGAAGAGAGCGAATAACAATGCTTTTAACGTGGGCACAGCAGGACATCCTCATGTATAGGGGGAAGGAAAAGCTGAATGTTGTTTATGTGCTCAGTTCCACCAAAGACACTGTTGTGGGAAAATCTGACCAACACAGAGACTTTGGCAGTGAGGAAACAAACCTTCACTCGTTCTTCACCTTCAATCAAAGGCTCATTCAAGTACATTGTACTTCACCAGATTCAATCAAATGTAACAATTTTACTTATGTAACAAAATTACAGGGAAAATTTTACATTCAAGTCAGAAATTTGGGCAAATTTTTTTTTTGAGTGCATAAAGAAAAAGAAGCACAAAACATGCTTGAAGATCAAAATATGCAGATTGAGTGACACAGATGGCGTAAAAATTCACTTCAGGTTTATTTATCTAAATAACACCAACAATCACCTCAAGGCGCTTTATACTATATGATAAAGACCCTGCAGTGTTCTGGAGAAAACCCCAACAATCAAACCATTTTCCTTCCCAGCAGGAGCAGCCGCGGGGAGGGGCAGCCGTTCCCGGTTTGAGGGTGGGGGCGACAGGAAACAGCTACAACATGTAGACGACTGTCTGCAAAGCTTTGCAATCAATGCATAACCATGAAATCCCTTAAAGCAGTCCACTATGCACTGCACTTAATGGCTGATAATATCATTCTGCTCCCTGTTTTCCTCCTGCCTGGCAGCTCCATCATCAACATCCTTGGTCCAGTATATCCACTCTCTCTCCTCTCAACATGTCAGCCTTGTCTCGCTAACTTTGTCTCCAAACTGCTCTGCCTGAACTGTCTCTTTCAGACTCACTGATAATCATTTCATCTTCAGCTCCACCATCTTTTTGTCAGTGCCACTGTCTCCAAACCATACATCATAGCAGGTCTCATCTTGTAAACCTTCCCTTTCACTCTTGCTCCTATCCCCAGTTTTTCACCTTCATCTTTCAGTTAAATGTCCCATGACTGGACATTTTATGTACTACGTTCAGATGCAAGAGAGCAGACATAACTGGAAATAAAAATCACGTGCTTCGATGAGGATCGTCCCACTTTTTCAAATAAGTGACAATTGGAATAAAACGTAGTGTGCAAAAACGAAACAAACAAACAAAGAAATTGTGCAGCGCAGAGAGCCAAACAATCACAGCTGGTTTTATTTTTACCATAACACTGTGCGGCTTGTATATAGCGTCATCAAAATGTGCGAGACCATCCAAGGAGGGGACGCTCTGCAGGGATACTTCTATGTCACAAACTTTTTCGCCCGCCATTCCTCTTCTCGTGTTTGTTTTGCATCTTCCAAGCAACAGTGACGCCATAAATCGCGGCTGTCAGTTACAAATTTTAAACAAGGTTTAAAAAAATATCTGAATGAGAACGTCTGGCAGTGACTGTTCCGAAGAATTCAGACTAGAATCTTTACACGCCGCACACACTGCACGGCGTTATCTGCTGAATGTAAACACCAGCTGAGCCCAACTGGAACTGATCTGGTGGGACTGGTCCTCATCAGCCAGCACCTCCAAACTGCATTCATAATCGGCCTGACAGTCGTTAAGTTCATCTCTAGGTTTACATACGGCATATGATTTGGAGAAAGAGCACATATTCTCCATGTGTGTCAATGTCATTGTTTTCCTTTGCAGGACAGGCGTCCTCCATTTGTCTCTACGTGTAGAAATTAAGAACAGCAGGTCTGTTTGAGGCTTAAGTGCGTTCCCTGACACAAATCCAACAGCACGACACAATTACTGCGAGCCATCTTATGTTATTTACAGTTGAGAGGAGCACTTAATACTTATTGTACACAGAGAAAGCCAACGATTCCACATGCAGACAAGCACCACCAGCTGAGCTGTGATCGTCTCTCGTGCATGATGGATGGGAGGATCTCACATAAGTGCAAAGGATAAAAACAGGCCTCGCGCCTCGTGAACAAAGTTTCCTGGATACAAGAGACTACACAACACTTGTATGGTGTAAGCCTTTACCACTGTTAATGCAACACAGTGCAAGCAGTCTTGCGTCAGCTATGGTGACATGTTCAGAGGAGTGATGCAAGGAAGAATCCGACATGTGCAGCAATTTGTGCATCTTAATATGTTAATAGGAGCACGAAGCAAAACAGCATCAAAAGCGAGTGCCGAGAATGAAATTTAGTGCATAGAATGTATATTTGTATGGATTTATTTATAGAAAAAAAAAAGAAAACAAAAATCAGCTGAACAAGGCTGACGATGTATCAATCAATCTTTAGGAGGAGGGCGTATTCTCCGTCTGCCTTCTGGTATCCAAAACACCACTTTAAAGGACCGGATCAGATCACAACAACTGGTTGACAACACGCAGAAGGGAGGGGTAGAAATTTAATAAAATCCACTGTCATGCTGAGCGCACTAGTGATATCCACTCTAAGCAGAAACCACTCCAGTCTGTAGCCTCGGGAGCTTAATTCATCGTCCTTTTAACGTGCAGAGTACTGCAGCCAGCAGGTACACGTGTAAACAGAGATACACTCAGTTATTACACCCGCACATGTGAAATGAAGCAAGATGTCTTCTGCCACACCGACTTTCTGTTTCCCCCGGCAGCAGAGCTGTTAATCTCCTGACAGGTGTCCGTGTTATCTTAGGAATCCGTCGGCCTCTGACGGTGCGGAACAGGCAGTCAGTCCCTCCACACGGTAACTAAAACATGACCTTACATTTTACATAAATTTGACTGCGGAGACGAAAGACTGAAAACGTTCCGGTGTTAAATTCAAACACTGCATGTTAATGCCGGTGTCCAGTACTGCCTTCAAATGCTCGCTTTATCCTCTGACTGCTCAGCCTGTAAATGGTATATACCACATGGTGTAAATACAACTACTCATTTAAGACAACAAGACGACAAACCTGTAAGGAAGGGTCTTTTTCGGCATGATTTAATCCAAACATTTCATGTTTTTGTGACAGTTTTATCCAAAATATATACATTTTTTATTGTAATAAGTTAGAGTTCACCCTGAAAATCAAATGTAGGACATGCAGAGAAGTGGTGTGACAGAAGAAGATACTCGTTGAAGGTAGATGATCTACTGTGGTGAGCCCAAAAGGGAGCAACCAAAAGCTGAAAGTGCTATTAATCCATCTGTTCAAATACAACAGGACTGTGAGCAGGTTTATGTAGGACCTACTTCCTTTCTACCGAACTACCCCCATCAACTGTATCGCTGTGCAAAACGAGCTACCCGTGACCTCATGCTCGTGACCGCGTGGCAGGATGTAAACACTAATGGGAACCCACTCAGCTGAGCTGTAATTAGCTGGCTGCACGCTTTAATTGGCGGATGTAGTCAGACAGTTCCGACATGAAACTGCATACACATATCTAGGTCATGATTTGTGGAAAGAGGTGTTGCTATAGTGTACTTCTTAAGATTCTGACCACCAGCTAGTTTCCACTAGATTCATGCCAGAGGAGAAACACGTATACTTGATTTAAGGGTGAAACAGATTTCTGTTGTGTTAAAATTGCTCATTTAAGAACTTATGGGCAACAACAAATACTATAAAATAAAGACCTGATGTGATTAAACAGAAGCTTTCATGAAGCTTTCAACACTTATTTTGTGAAACCACAAAACCAACCTGTCATTACACCTTCAAATAACTGTGAAGGCGACGTGTCTTTACCTTCGACATTTCACAGTTCAAATGAAAGGAAATCGTGGTGCTTTCTAATTAAAGACTTGTTTCAAACCCAAAGCAGCCTGATATACAGCGATAACTATTTCCTTTACCCAGAGGCCTCTTCCATACAGAGGGGCCCCTTCCTCTAGCAGTATGAGAAAACAGTCCATTCCACTAATATTATGTTTTCATTAATGAGAAGGGGCTTAAAAAGCGCCATGTTTGTTTGCATTTAGGCTAGACTGACTCAGTCTGAAGAAGCTGAGCGAGGGCGCGGACGTCAGGGTCAGGAGCAGCTGAAGGTCTAGTTTCTCAGAAACAATTCAGACAAGAGGGAAAGGGCAAGAGGGAGAGAGGGGCGAGTGGTACGGAGGAAAAAAGAGAACACGACGATGCTTTGCTTATCTTGAAAAATGAATACTGCCTTATCAGAAAACCTCTTTTCTACAGCACTAAGAAAAAAATCATGGCTGCTTCAGTAAAGATACAACCTACAGTAGGAAAGCTAAAGGTAGAGAAGGAGATGGGATGGCTATAAAGGAACTGGTACGACTACTGCTTACTTTTAACAGCCATTATGAAACAACGATGCCATTTCAAAATTTCAAAATTTGCTTCTGAGGCATTAAACTGTGTTAACGTTAAACAATAAATACATAATTCAAACTCACTGTTTCTCTTCTCCCTCTGATGGGTTAGAGTCCTGCTCCTTGGGCATGTGTTCCATTCACCTTAATTCCATCCAGCAGCCAATCATGAGAGACTGAGGCAAGCCCCACCCTCGGATGCACACTTGTCATTCGCCGGTTGGGACGAGTCGGTCAACAAAACATAACAGGGGCCAGTCCCTAGGGGCCGGTCCCTGGTGTCCTCGGAAGGTGGGTTTTGGGCGTTTCTCCAAAAGGAGTGCACCCGGTGTGTTGTTGCTCAGGGTGATGCTGGAAAATATGAAAGATGATGTAGGTTCCTCGGGTATATCAGCTGGCCTTGAGGCCAGGGCTGGAGGTGGATGACAGTCTCAGGAACGCAGTGGCAGGACTGGGATCCAGGCTGGAAGAGAACAAAGGTCACACTCAGATTAAAAAGTCTCCAGATATGAAACAATGGGAATATGTGCACGACTAAAGCTCCCATCTATCAGGACAATAATGATCACTTAATGATTAATACACTGGAAAAATAGAAACCACATTGAAATATCAGGCATAGATTGAAGTTTAGACTGTCCTTGGGCAAGATAATAACCCCAAGTTGCTCTCTGATGAATGTGTGTGAATGTTAGATAGAACGCACTTAGAGAACGCAGCAACCACGTCACTAATTATGGAGGAATTATGGCTTAACTCTGAATGAAGGTAGTTAAAGTAGTTGTAGTTTCGGTGGACAGCAACAGAATAAAGTTGCTACAAAGACAGCCACTGAAGACCTGGTTGTTCTCGAGACAACCTTTTCAAAGACAACAAGACATTCCACACAACACCACAACACTCATTTTAGTCCTAAGAGTCCAAACTGACAGTGAGTTTCCTGTGACAGCAGGCTGGAGAAATCTGGAAGTGTTCATATCAGAGAAGCTGCAGTCACAGAGTCAAGGTTACTTTTTTCACTACAATGCTCTATAAAAATGTGTCGGAGAGAATGATCCCAAGATTTGAATCACTAGGAACCAAGGTAGACACAGAAATCAGACCTCAAATCTGTAAAACCCAACCCATCTCAAAACATGAGACACAAACTTGATCCGAGACCTGACATGTTGCTTTGAAACAGAAAGCATTTATACAACACTTCTACCCAACGTGCTTTACAATTTGCCTGTCAGTCACGTACAAAAAACCCCCCCCCAAAAAAACAAAAAAAAACACACAAACAGCAATGGCAGCAAGTCATAGAAAGTCATACAAGGCAGTGGCCTAACCACAAAGAGCAGTTGGGTAAGCGCCTTTGCCCTAGGACATGCAAATTGTAGGAGCTTGGAACTGAACCCAGACTACTTCATAGTTTAGCTACAATTATCCCACACATAAGGCATTTTGGTGCACGTTGTTATCTTGGCGCTCCCTCCCAGTGGGCATTATTTAACTACCCATCTGAATGTATGATCTGCATGAATGCAGACAACTGATAAAGTGAGAACGTGACACCAGACCGAGTCTACAGGCAAGAAAAAGCTAAAAAATAGCCAGGTTTGAGGTTTTGTGCCACGAACGATCAAAAAAAGTCTTCTGAATTTGTTTCACCAAGGATGTGGCCATACTACAACCAAACAAGTACTTCACCACATGTTGTGACCACTGAGTTAAGCTGTCAAATCCACTGAGACTCATACTCCATCTACCATTACATGACCCTTGGACATAAGAAATAGAGGCTTTTACTCATGCATGCAGAAGCAAATAGATTTTTTTCCCATTCACACACAAAGTTAAAGCTGGATAAGTTGGTCTGAAGGTCAGAAACTCTGTCACGTTCAGCTGTTACTGGTGCCATTACTAGTTCCTGGAAAACTGCTTAGAGAACGTCACCTCTTGCAAAGGGTTAAGTAGTTTTAAGATTAGCAGCTGAATCCGTGAAAGGGTATGTGTGTTTGTGTAAGTACTAAGAGGATCTTGATCCTTTAACCCCTGCCCTCCTCCCTCTGTTGTTAAAGGAAGGCTTCTTTCTTTCCTTTGCCAACCCTTCATTCGATAGCTTTCTAACAACAGAGCACACACAGAGCACAAGAATGGCCACAAATGAGACCAAATTAGTATTACTAACATAGAGAATATGCTGTGTGCAATACTGTTTTAAAAACAACCTTTCTAAACAGGAAAATGAGGCTTTTATCAGTTATTTTGTGGCCATATTAGCAGAAGGTGACTGATTGTGAAACCCTGAATCTGATAATATCAGACCGATGGTTGCTGAAAACAGTAAGAGTGCAAGATAAAATCCAAATGTGTGGTGGTGCACCAAGATTTCTTTAAATCATTTTGCATATCAATCCATTTTCCTCCACTTAAAAATAATTTAAAGACCAATGTTCATCTGTAAAAGCATGACCACTAATGAAGGTAGGCTACATCATTTATCAGTGCATGCAAATAAAGTTAAATGACTTCTATGTTCTTCTAATATATAAAGATGCAATTTTCGACATAGGTAAGTAAATATCTCCTCCATCTCCTCTTTCCTTATGTTTGCAGAGGTGTATATATGCAGGCCCACTGCTCCATCTGTCTGCTGATTGTATAGGAATTTCTTTTAATTATGTATTAATAACATTATTTTATTGTATGATGCCTTGGTGCCAGTGGATTTTAACATGTCTCACACTCATACAGTAAGACAAATGGTGGGGGTCTAGTAAGGAAGTTGGGGGAAGCAGACAACTTCACAGGAAGAATCTTTTGTATCTTCTCTGACGGACTCTTCTCTGAGGTAGCAAGGGAGTGTGAACCTTAAGGTGTGAAACAGCTGTGTACTGCCTTTTGTTCCTGAAGAAGGTATTTAACTGAGAGCCATGTTAGGCTCGGGAGACTCTGCTGGCCGTCTGCCCCGCGGTCATGCAGGCTCTCCACCAAGCTCAGGTTTTTCTGTTCTTTCTTTGTGATTAAAGAATGTTAGCTACCGCTCACCGCTCGTCTGCAGGCTTTATTTAATGGAAAACTTCCACAACACTATATACGGTGCATCTACTCACTATCCATTTAATCTGTTTGTTAATGCAAATATCTAATAAGCCAGACACATGGCAGCAAACAGAGCATCAGAATTCAGGGAAAAAAGGTGATTTAGGTGACTTTGGATGTGCCATGGTTGTTGTCCAATGGAGACACAGGAGATTCACATCATGGATGTGCAGCTGACAAATGTGCAGTATGTGTGTTGATGCCCATCCACCCATCCATCCATCCATTCGCTTCCGCTTATCCTTTTCAGGGTCGCGGGGGGTACTGGAGCCTATCCCAGCTGTCATAGGGCGAGAGGCGGGGTACACCCTGGACAGGTCGCCAGTCTGTCGCAGGGCCAACACACAGGGACAGACAACCATTCGCACTCACATTCACTCGCACATTCACACCTAATGGCAATTTGGATTTTCCAATTAACCTATCCCCACAAGTTGCATGTCTTTGGACGGTGGGAGGAAGCCAGAGTACCCGGAGGGAACCCACGCAAACACGGGGAGAACATGCAAACTCCACACAGAAAGACCCCGGCCTGATGTTGGAATTGAACTCAGGACCTTCTTGCTGTGCGGCAACAGTGCTAACCACCGTGGCACCGTGCTCACCTATATATATGTAACGAAAAATAATTTCCCCCAGGGATCAATAAAGTATTCTGATTGTGATTCAAATGGATTGCTGCTGGACTTTGCATTATTGGGCCCTTACCAACCACCGATAAATTTCTGAATGCAGAGTTGTATGTGAGAATAATAAAACTGGTTTTATTAACATTGCAAACATTGTACAATCATCAGCTAAAAATTTTAATAAACATCTGTTAAACAAAACAACCTTAATCAAGAACCCCACAAAGACTAAACATTAGGCATGAAGTAGGCACTTAAAGACACTTAAAGATAAAACACACGCACACACACTGAGCGGAGTAGTCTACAAGGCTGAAACCAACAGGGCAAACTGTGGCGTGATATTGATATAGGACAGGAGTGATATAAACTGCATATCAAATATAAATGGAGTGTGCTTTATCATAGCTCTACTCTCTATCAACATCAACAGATCACCACTACAAGTGGCATTAACCTCAGTATGTGTCTGTAACACAAACAATAAGTCGTTTATCACACTGGAACAATGAGCTCAAAATCTGAAAGCAGAGTATTGTCTGATTAGGAACTGAAATTACATCCAAGTACCATATGCTATTAGAGCAAGACAAGTCTTTTTAGAACTGGACCCTATTCCTTTCCATTTTCTTCACTGTATCTATAAACAGCGAGGCTCTAGGGAACTGTAAATTATAATGATGCTGCAGGTTTAGTTTCGGGGTATATTTGTAGAAATAGTGCTTCAAGCCTCTGGTTAGGAGTTACAACAGCTTCTTTTGGACTAAAAAGCTTTGGCAACTATAAGAGGGTAAGTACCCACTGGGGTGGTTGCCCTGGAACTATGTGCCATCCGAGCTTTTCTTCTGCTTGCTTTAGCATCGCTAATTGCAGAGGCACTGCTCTTTGTCGACTTTTACTTCGTTGTGAACCTTTTTACATCCTCTTCATTTTTTCTCTACATTTCCTCACTGTATTGTGTTTGCCAACAGCGAGTTATAGGGAAGTGCTAGTGCATGTTTTTTTCTAATTTGTTCTAAATTGTAAGATTTCCCGCACTGGAGGCCTGGACTTCACTGCTGGAGTTTCTTCCAGTTTTTAGTCCTAAAACTAAAGACTGTCAGTTTTTTAATGTTCAAGTGTTTCCATCAATTTTCTCCAGAGTCCAGATCACAGGGGTAGAGTCTCCTCTCCTTGGCTACTTCCAGCAACTTTTGCAACAAGGCATGAGCCCATGGGGCTAGGCCCAACCGAGCTCAGCCCCAAAGAGCTACACAAGCCTGGGCCTCAGTGGGCTCACTAGCTGGGTCCTGTGCAGCGTGGATCAGTAGTAGTCGAGTGCAGTCACTGGTTGCAAATACTGGCTACATGACTTTTTGCAGCACTTGTCCCCTGTTGGCCATTAAAAAGACTGCAGGTTTAACACACTTCCACATTGGCTTCACTTTTCAGATTCAAAGTCTAAGTCTATTTTTCATACCATTTATGGTCCTACCAAAAATGGGCTTCCAAAAACTTTGATGGTGGTGAATTTTTTCTGTTTTCACACCGTTTAAAAACAGTTACTCTAAAAACACTCCTTTAGTGTTAAATCAAAAAACACGGGCTGTTTACTGATCTCTGCTATTGACCAGGCTTCTTTAAAGCTTTCAACCTTTAAAAGGACATACAGTAAATTCTGAATTCCACCCAGAGAGCTCCCTAACCTTTGTATTGATTTATAACAGGCATTAACTTTAATTCATGTTACTACAAAGACTGTTGAGTC